GTCTCGCTACTCGGCATTCGTCCCGTGGCAGCCAGCGCCCGCGTTACTCAGCCTCTCCAGGCAGCCCTGGGGGCCGATCCCCACGAGGACAGCGCCGGCCCTGCGCCCGGGAGCTGCTGGGGCTCCCACCCGGTGGGTACCGTGGAGACCCCCACGCCAACCCAGCCCTTCTGCAGGGAAGGTGGAGACCAGTGCGGTGCTAGGACAAGGGGTGACGGCGGTTACCAGAGCTTGAGAACCAGGGGAACGAAAGGGGCCGGGCTGGGTGGGCTCAGGGCCCGAGCCAGAGGCGGGAGGCTGGGGCGCAGGCCGAGGGCGTGGAGCTGAGGGGGCAGCGAACGGTCGGGTGGGCGCCCGTCCCGTTTCTGTGACTGGCTGTGATCTAGTGAGCAGTTCATGTTGATTCGCTACATTTTCCTGCAGAGAGGAGCTGGCTCCCTCACCCCGTGAGCCGTGTTGTTACTTGGAGTAGATTTCTATGGCGAGACAGAATTTTTTTCTCCTAAAACACCATTTCTGAGTAAGAACTTGGTGGGGAAGCCAGCTCCGGAGGTGACCAAGGGACTGTGTGCTCTTTCCTTCTCTGTTTACAAGTTTTAACTTTATCTTCCTGGTGAACTGAATGTTTTATGATTATTCAGTGACTCTCTTTACCCTGAAGGCAGTCTTGCCGTCTGTCCTAGTTCTCTGCTTTGAAACAATGTATCAAGCGTCCCCGCTGACAGTCGGTAGAATGGTTGCCTCTGTGTCTCCTTCAGTCTTTCTTTTTTAAACTTTATTTATTTCTTTTAAATATATCTTTATTGATTTCAGAGAGAGGAAAGGAGAGGGAGATAGATAGGTAGATGATAGATGATAGATAGATAGATAGATAGATAGATAGATAGGTAGATAGATAGAAACATCAATGATGAGAGAGTCATTGATCGGCTGCAGCCCACAACCCGGGCATGTGCCCTGACCGGGAACCAAACCCCGATCGCCTGGATCCTAGCTCGATGCTCAACTGCTGAGCCACGCCCGGCTGGCCCGCCTCCTTCAGTCTTTCTAGTGTTAATGGTCCGTAACCCGATGCTGTGCGTGCATCTCTTATAAATAACAGGTAACTGCATTTTACATGTGTGTGCGCTTAGGCTGCAGGTAGTGAGGGTGCCCCTGATTGTGGCTACTGACTGCTAAGCTTCGGTGCTGTTGTTTTTCCTGCCCCCCTTTGTACACTTGACTTGCTCCATCTTCCTCTTACGCCTCCTTATTCTTCTGAGTTTGCTTGTTTTTTTGTTTTTTCTTAACCTATTTCTTGGTTGTTTTTTTATCTTGGAAGCTAAACGCAGTTTTCCTTCCTTCAACCCTTAGAATACTGTACGTACACTTTATATAACAAAACTTTAATCGGCACTGGAACTTCCTTACTGAGCAACTGAAGAACTTCAGAATATTTTAACTCCAGCTGCCCTTCCCCCTCAGCCGGCTTATATGCTATTATCCTGTGTTTCAGTCTTTTAAAAATTAACCCACAAATGGATGCTATTATTATTTTGTGTGGATGACGTTTGTTTAGATTTACTACACGTCTGCAGTGGCTCCACTATTCCTTCTTGCATCTCAGTTCTTCCTTTTAGGGTCATTTTCCTGTCTCCTAAAGTACACACTTTATATGTTCCTTTAGAGAAGAGCTGTTGGTATTAAACTCTCAATGTTTTCTTTCCTGAAAATGCCTTTTTTCTTGAAAGATAGTTTCGTAGGGTTCACAGCTCTTGACTGACATTATCTCTTGGTGCCCTGAGGATACCATTTCAGTGTCTTCTAGCTCCCTCTTGCTGGGGGGAAGTCCCCCGTTCTTCTGATTGTGGTTCCTTTGTGGTACTGTAGGTGATCTGGTTTATCTCTCTGGCTGCTTTAAAGAGTTTTTTTGCCCCCCCTAATCGTGATGTTTTGAAGTTGTGCTACAGTGTGCCTAGGTGAGGATTTGTTTTAAAGTCTCCACCTTGTTGGTATGGGTATACGCTATGGTGGCAGGTGCTGTGTCTGCACATTCATGCCTTGAGGTGGTTCTGGAATTTTCAGCTGTTATCTCTTTGGATATTGTCTCCCTTTCAGTCCTTCTGTTCTCTCCCTCTGTGGCTCTAACTGGATATGTTAGACCTCACCATTTTAGCTTCCATTGTCTCTAGCCTTGTTTTCACATTAAAAAAATCTCATTATCGCCCAGCCAGGTGTGGCTCAGCGGTTGAGCATCGACCTGGGATCCAGGCGATCAGGGTTCGGTTCCCGGTCAGGGCACATGCCCGGGTTGCGGGCTGCAATCAATCAATGACTCTCTCATCATTGATGTTTCTCTCTCTCTCTCTTCCTCTCCTTCCCTCTCTCTGAAATCAATAAAGATATATTTTTAAAAAAATCTCATTATCTCTTTCTGCTGCAAAGTTAGTAACTTATTCAACCTACCTTCGTCAGTTCTCTCTTAATACATCTCCTAAGTGCTATTTAGCCCAAACATTCAGTTTCCCATTTGAAAAATTACAGTTTTTATTTCTAAGAGCTTTATTTGGTTCTTCAAATCTGCCTTTCATTTTTGCTTGATTATTAAAATATTTATTTTAACAGAAACTAACCAATGTTGGTGAGGATGTGGAGAAGTTGGAACCCTTGTGCACTGTTGTCTAGAATGTAAAATGGTGAGGCCATTATGAAAAACAATAAAAAATTAAAAACGGAATTACCACATGATACAGCAATTCCACTCCTGGGTGTATATAAAAATAAATTGAAAGTAAAGTCTTGAAGAGATATCTGCACACTCATGTTCATAGCAGCATTATTTACAGTAGCCAAAAGGTGGAAGCGACTCAGATGTTCAATGATGGAAGACTGGATAAACAAAGTGTATATAAATAATTCAGCCTTAAAGAGAAAGAAGTTCTGGCACATGCTACAAAATGAATGAACCTTGGAGCCACTGTGCTCGGTGAAATAAGCCAGGAATGAAAAGGCACATTCTGCATAATTCCACTTATGAGGTACCTAGAGTAGCCATATGCACAGAGACAGCAAGTAAAACTGGCAGCAGAGGCTGGAGGGAGGGGGGAGTGGGGGTATTGCTCAGTGGTTATAGACTGGCAGTTTGCAAGGTGAACACAGTTCTGGGGATGAATGGTGGTGATGGGTGCACAAAACTGTGAACGTGCTTAATACCAGTAAACCATATGCTAACAAAGGCTTAAGATGGTACATTTTATGTTGTGCGTATTTTACAACATAAATAATTGAATAATTTATAATTATTAAACAATAATTTAAAAATGTGGGAACATGTCCACTTTTATTTATAGATTTCACAAATTATTATCATGCTGGTGTCCCGCAGTGGCGAGTTTACGGCGTGATCTCAGTCAGAATGCCACGTTCGGTTTAGGGCGTGCGGCCCCAGGGAGGTGTGTGACCGCACTGTCTTAGTTTTCTTAGGTGCAGAATGGGGACACGATGGTACTTACCTCATAGGTCTCTGTGGGTGTTAAATGGATCAGCACACAGCGAAGCACTTGAGCTAGTGCCTGGTTCAGAGAAATGCTCCATGGGATTAGTAATTGTTACAATCACTTGATAATTCTAATGCCGGAAGTCCTCAAGGTTCTAAATTTGCTGTTTCTGGTGATTCCTATGCATGGCAGTTTTTTCCTTTTTTAAAACACTGGGCTGATCTTTGATCGTGAACTCATATTTGGAGGGCCTTTGGGACTCCTAAGGCTCTGAATTTGGGGTGTCTTCCTTCTTCATTAGGTTTGCCCCCGGACCGCATTTGCCGTCCTCAGCTGTCTCTGCTCCACGTGGGAGTCCTAGGCCAGCTCCTGCCCTGCAGGGGGCCTGGGTTCAGTTCTGCTCTCAGTCTTCATATAGGTCTTTGTCCCTAGGATTTTAATTAGCTGTTGCCCCCAGATCACTGTAGTCTCAGCTCATGATTCTGATGGTTTATTTATTTATTTGTCTTTGAGGATTCGATTATTTCCTAGGAACCTAGTAAGGCTCTTCCATGCAGCGTCCAGGGAAGTCCGCTGGAGCTTGCTTCTCTGAGTGCAGGAACTTGTATTCCCAAAACCAGCTTGGGGGCCACTCGTACGTGGCAGGTGATAAATTATATATATATATTAAATGAGTGATAAACACCATACCCCCTGGGCTCTCTAGGTTGAAGTTAGGACTCAGAGGTGCACTATCTCTTTCTAGGCATCTGGGAGCCGTGATTTAATGTCATCCTGAGTGCCTAAACCATCGCCCTCCCAAGCCGTGGGTCATCTCTGGCGCATGGCTGATATCAGGCAAGAGGGGGGGAGGAGGGCAGCAGGAGGCGGCCTGGGTGGGAAGGAGACTTGCCCCCCTGGCTCCCCGAGTCTGCAGCCCCCCGCTGCTCCCACTCAGCAGCTCTCGTCTCTGTGTCTCCTTTTCCCCAGTCCTTTACTCTGAGAATTAATTGTCTCCCCAAGACCTGTCCCTGCCCAGGCCAAAGAATAAAGATTGTGGTTCAGTTGTCGTAGCTCAGTTCTTATTAAGCAGCCCAGTCAGACTGTGTCCAGACTTCACAGACCTGTTTAATACAAGTGGCTGAGTAGGTAACAACAACGGTAAGCACAGTAGCTGCGCCCATGGCAGGACAGTGCATTTTATGTTACAACTGGCTTCTTGCCTGGGTGGACTTGGGTGGGGTGGAGGAGAGGGCTGGCTCAGACCCGTTCCTCCTTCCGTTCCAGCCCTTGACGATCTGGGCTGTCACCAGCGAGTGGAGTGGGAACGCTCCTCTGGGCTGAGCCGTGCCTCTGAGACCTTGGCCCAGAGGCTGGCCTGCTCGGGGGGCTCCGTCTCCCTCCTTGGGGTGCCGGGAGCGCTAGGGGGTGGCTGAGCTGGGGCCGCTCACTGCCTCCTGGGCGCCTGTGGGCCATGGGGTCTCTTACAGGGATGGAGGCCCTCTGCTGCACTGAGAAACGCTGAGGCTGTGGGCAGAGAGGTGTGCCAAGGGGGCTCTTGCTCTGTATCTGGCTTCTGGGGATCCCCAGGGAGCAGGCCAGGGTGGCAGCAGCATCACGGCTCAGACTAGAGAAAGAGACCAATAAAGAGGGCGAGATGGTTTGCAAGTGGACAAAGCAGTGACGTGGGCACAGCTAATCCCCCTTTCGGAAGCTCTTTGCCCCTCTCTCCCCTGCAGGGGAGTCTCATCGCCTCTCCACCCTCCTTCTCGTCAGCATCTGTCCCCTGCAAGGATCAGGGAGTCTCACGGCTGGAAAACAGACCATGATAAGCGGGGTGTGGCCGGAACCCTGAGGTATATGCAGTCAGCCGGAGGCTGGCCTCAGGAATTCCAGCCCTTAATGGTGGGGAAAGTTATTTGGGATGTAAAAGGTTGTCTCAGAGCCATTTAGATGAACCCTAAGGATGATTGGGTACCCTAAGAATAGAGGGAGGGAGGGACGGCACACAAGGTGGGGCACCCATGCTCACCTTCCGGACACTGAAGATCCAGTTGAGATAATCGGTGACTTTGGTGTATACTCCCGGGGTACTTGGGCCCCCACAACCATGGCCCCAGCTCACGATGCCCACAACTTGCCACAGGTGAGAGTGATACATCAGGGGTCCACCGCTGTCACCCTGTGAGAGGGCAGAGCAGGGGCTGCTGGGTGGGCAGGTGGGGCGGGGCGGGGGTCCCCCCTCCCTGCACTGGCCCCTCCGCTCTCCTGTGCCCCACTCCCTCCGCTCATGCTCCCGCAGCCTGGAAAGTCCTCCCCTTTTGGGACAAAGGGTTCTTTGGAGCTCAAGTCAGTCGTGGGTGTGCCCATAGCCCCCTCTTGGACATCCACAACCCACACTAGCAGACCGAAGGCTCTCAGGGGTCCTGAGCCTGGTTATCTTTGTTTAATATAGTATTTCTCAAATTTATGTAACCACTGCTGGCGAGCCTGTGTCATGTTGGGCACTGTCCTAGACGGTTAGAAAAGAACACAGATCCTTTGTCTTCAGGAAGCTTAGAATCAAATGGAGGAGAGAGAGGGACAGACTGGGAGAGACAGAGAGGGAGAGACAAGGAGGGAGAGAGACGGAGAGAAAGATGGAGAGAGAGGGGGAGAGACAGAGAGGGAGAGAGAGGGAGAGACGAGGGAGAGAGACAGGGAGAGAGAGGGAGAGAGAGAGGCGGAGAGAGAGAGAAGTGCACAGACAGACAAAAAATGTCAGGTAGTGAGAAATGCACTTTCTTGGTGTCTGTCTTTCCAGCTCCTATAACCCTTGAGGCTTCTTCCTCAAAACCCAATAGCTTGGCGGCCAAACTGCCGATGCTCCCCCATCCCCTGTGAGCTCCCGGAGGGCGGACACTGCCCCCGAAGCCCAGCTCTTACCTGGCATTCAGGAGGCCACTAAGAGCTGCCTCTCGAGGGAAAGGGTTCAGTGCCTGGGGTGGAGGTGGGAGCCGGGTGGGGTTTAGGGAGACTGCCTGGGAAGATGCTCTGGGGTGGGGCAGTGAGAACGGCCCAGGGGCTGGCCGTGGGGACGAGGTGAGAGGACATGGCGCTGGGATTTGTCCAGCACGAGGGGGCTCTCTCTAGTGTAGTTCAGTGGCTTGAGGGCAGTGACAGAGAAAACTGGCCTGGAACCTTGCCCTCAAGGCACTCACACCCCTGCAGGTAACGGGAAGGAAGGCCGTGGGG